TTTGCAACCCCCCCCCCCCCCCCCAGCCTCTGCAAGTTGAATAACGGTGCCTCTGCCTCACTAATGCTGGGATTAAAGGTATGAGCCACCACTGAAACAGCCCTGTGTCCCAAAACCATTCAGACCTGTCAGATTTAATTGACACTGTCTGGTGGACTTACTGAATTTATAAGAATTTATTAAGCATTGGCCCTATGCCAGGTGACGATGGTGGAAATTCGAGTGTGTTCTCCATAATGAGTAGTCATGGGCTCTTTGCTGGCCAACCTCTCCCAAGGGATGCATGACTTGGTGTGTTAGGCTACTCTCCCTAACGCTTCTTCCTGATCCGGACCCCTTCTGTTTCTCAGGGCCTTGCTCCTCCCCTCCACCTTTCTATCTCCAGTTATCAATTAGGTGCTAGCTCTGGAGATAGAAAGATAAACAAGACTTTCTCTCTCACCAGTGTTTTGTTAGCACAGGTGCAAAGCCTTTTTTTTAAAGGATTTATTTTATGAATATGGGTGTTTTGCCTGCAGGTGTGTTTTGCACAATTTACATGCATTGTCCATGGAGATTAGAGAGAGCATAGGATTCTCTAGAACTAGAGTTATAGGCGGTTTTGAGCCACCATGTGGGTGCTGGGAATCAAACCAGGGTAACTCTGAAAGAGCAGCCAGTGCTCTTAACCATTGAGTTTCCCTTTGGTCCCAGGAAAATGATTCTTGGAGGAAGTGTTTTTTAACTGAATTCTAAAGGACTAATGAGTTGGATGAGAGGTTGCAGCAGAAAAAGGGGAATAGTATCCTCCAAGAGATGGGGCTATGAAAGGGCCTGGTATAGTTGGAGTCCAGGAAGGAGTTCTGTTCATGTGGAGTGAGCAGAATGTTATTGGTGGTGATTGGGGGGACATGAAGCTGGAATAGAGAGATCAGGAAAAGACTCATAAGCTAAGTAATTTATTCTGGGATGCTAGAAAGATGTCTTGAGCGGTTAAGTGCACTAGCTACCCTTGCAGAAGACCTGAGTTCAGTTCCCAGCATTCACATCAGGTAGCTCACAATTGCTTATGTCACACAGCTCCAGGAAATTGGATGTCTTCTTCTGACTTCCATGTAGGTACCTGCATATGTGTGTGTGTGTGTGTGTGTGTGTGTGTGTGTGTGTGTGTGTGTGTGTGTACTAAAGTAAGAAGGTGGAGGTGGATCAAGGAGGAATGGGTGTAAATGTAATCAAAATACATTGTACAACATTCTCAAAGAATTAATAAAAATATTTTTTTAAATGAAAGAAATTCTGAAGGTATTTTGGGGTCTTTGAAGAAAGTGTGTCAAGAGTACTTTTGAGACTTACAGAGGTCAAGAATGAAAATATTGCTGGTTGTGGTGGCCCATGCCATTAATAAGTGTTATGGATGCAGAAGCAGGTGAATCTCTGTGAGCTTGAGACCAGCCTGGTCTACATATCAAGCCAGGGCTAGATGGTAAGTAGAGCTAGACGTATATAGATAGCTCCACAATAGTGCACTCACCTACTGTGTAGGAGGTCCCGAAAACAACAACCTGAACAGCCTGAAAAAACAGAACAGTAATAGTAACAAAATTAGTTTGCAAAGGCATATTAATGACAACTCAGTTATACTTGATGGATCTAGCATTCAAATTTGTCCTTTTCTAGATCCTAATAAAATGACAAAGATTTTTAAAATTTAAATTACTGTGTGTGTGTGTGTGTGTGTGTGAGAGAGAGAGAGAGAGAGAGAGAGAGAGAGAGAGAGAGAGAATTCACAAACAGGTGCATCTGCCCATGGTGCTCATGTGGTGATCAGAGACCACTAGGAAAGAGTCAGTTCTCTCTTTCTACCATATGGCTTCTGGAACTTAAGATTAAGCTGGCTGTCAGGCTTGGTGGCAAATGTGTTCAACAATAAAGATGTTTAAGGGCCAACCGTGTAACTCAGTAGAGTATTTGCCTAGCATGCAGGAAGCCCTGGGTTTGACTTCTAACACTTCATAATACTGGGCATGTGTGGAGCATGTGCCTGTAATCTGAGCACTCAGGCGGTAGAAGCAAGAGGATCAGAAGTTCAAGATAATCCCTGGCTTGCTTCACAGCAAGCTCAAAATCAGCCTGAGCCAAGACCTTGTCTTGAGGGAAATAAAGAAGACCAAGGAGATGGCTCTGTTTGAAAAATGCTTGCTTTGCAAACCTATGAGGACCCAAGTTTGAATCTTCAGAACCCATGGAAAAGTCAACCTCTGCCTAGCAGGTGCTAGGGTCATAGGCATGGCCAACTCATAGAGAGACATCTACCTGCCTCTGTGTCCATAGTGCTGGGCTTAAAGGCATGCACCACCATGTCATTTTTGCCCTTTCAAATGAACCCAGGTGCCCACCAAGGTGGAAACTCTGTTTTTCATTTCCAACGAAGAAGTCTTTAAGACCTTGGAAGAAAAATTGGGGAATTCTTCTTGCAAGTAAATGAAAAGAGTAGCAGGATGTGTTAGTCCGTGCCTTTAATTCCAGCATTTAGGAGTTCAAAGTCAGCCTGGTTTACAAAGCCAGTTCCAAGGCCAGCCAGGACTACATAGTGAGACCCTGTCTCAAGAAACAAACAAAATGACAAAGAGCAACGGGAAAGGCAGGCATGCTGTCACATGCCTATGACCCTAGCACTGGCACCAGAGACAAGAGGATCAGAATTTCAAAGTCATCCTCAGCGAAACAGTGAGCTCATGGCCAGCTTGTGCTCAATGAGACTCTCTCTGACAAACAAACTGAAGAAGCAAGTAGCGATGGTGCAATCCTGTAACCTTAACGCTGGGGGCCACAGATAGCAAATTCAAGGCTAACTTAAAGTACTAGTTCTCAAAAACCCAATGCTGGCACTGGAGCTTAGAAGCTTGGTCTGGGACTCTGGGTTTTTTCCTCGGCACCGAAAAGAAAATGGCCAAAGAGAAAGGGACGGGAATGAGTATGGAAACATTAGACAATGGCTGGGGAACACAGGCTGAGTGGTAACGGGTTTAGCAATGAAGTGGTAAACGAAAAGGAAGTTTTAGGGAGCAGACTGCCCTGAAATTAGTGGTAGTTATGAGTTTGGATAAAGTTGGTACTAAAATTTGGAGGGTTATTTGAAGTAATTAAACTACTAGATCCTGACTTCATTCATTTTGGCAACTAGCCCCACACCAGAAGAATACTGAAGTGGAGAACCTTTGGGAGTTGGAGAGATGGCTCAGCAGCTAAGAGCACTGGCTGTGCTTACAGAGGACCAGGGTTCAATTCCAAGCACCCACATGGTATCTAGCAACCATCTGTAGCTCTTGTTCTAAGGAATCTGTTCAATGCCCTCTTCTGGCCTCTGCGGACACATACACTCAGGCAAACACACACATTCTCATAAAATAAAGCAACAAAGATTAGGATCTTTGTTGGCTGGCCTGTTACCTGGCTGGCCTGTAAAGCACATACACAGATCAAGCTGGCCTCAAGAGAGTTCTGTGTTGGAGATGGAAAGCAGGGGTTTTTGCTTAGCAGGTACTTGGGTACTGTTGAGGTCAAAAACATGGCACTGAAAACAAATTAAGTGAATATTTATGTATTGGGTTGACAGCCAAGTTTATAGTTTCCAGGCTCAAGATTCCAGGATGCTCTGTGGGGAACTTGATTACTCAGACAAACAATCTAATTAATACCGGGGTTCTAACAAAGTCCTTAGCCAGACCAGACCATGTTGCAATTCATTGTTGGTAAGGTCCAGCTGTGTACATGGAATAGTCAGTCAACTTCTTCTCACCTCAGGCTCTGCTGGAATTGGACATCTTCCTACCTCAGCCTCTGGAGTGCTGGGATTCCAAATTCACACTACCACTTCACTTTTGAATATGCCCAGGCAGAAAAGGATTTCTATATATTTGAGGAACTTTCCAGCATGGAAGCAATAAATACAGAGGAAAAACAAATCCTAGTGGGCTCAGATAAGAGATTTTATATGTATGATTGATTAGCTGATGTTATGATAAAGCTCATGGAACCTTTCATGGGGACCTTGGCAGATTCCATGGCAGGGGAGGTTGACCAAGGCAGGGAACAAACATGCCAGGCAGATGGAGCTTAGTGAGAAGTTTTATTAGACAGGGAAGGGAAGTGGGGGAGGAAAGAGAAAAGTGGTAAAGAGACAGAGACAGAGAGAGGACAGAAGAGAAGAGGGAGACAGGAAAAGTCCAGTCTTCCCCAGGGGAGCAGCAGGAAAGAGAGAGGGAAAAGAGAGAGCAGAACAGAAAGAGGGGGAAAGAAAGAGTGGAGAGAGAGGAGTGGGAAAGAGAGTGTAAGTGGGCAGGGGTCTGTCTTTAAAGGGGTC